TCTTCAAGGGTGATAGAAAGGAAGTGAGCTACAGGATCAGCTCAGACAGCAGAGCTGTATGCATTTGTAGGAGCCTGTGAATTTATTTGGGACAAGATAGTGAAGATTTTTACTGATTCTAAATATGCATAAAGGGTGATACATACATTTGGGAAATTATGGGAGGAAAGAGGTTTATTAACCTGCAGAGGAAAACTGGTAATTCATGAAAGTTTTATTTCCCGCCTATTAGAGGTGATGAATTTACCAAAAGGGGTGACAATAATACATGTTAGGGACACCAGGCAGGGTACTCAGAGGAAGCAATAGGCAACCAACTGGTTGATGAAGAGGCTTGGAAAGCTACACTGTTGCCAGAAATCTTTAAGATGCTCCCCTCACTCCCAGTAGCCCCATCGCTGCCAGAGGAACTGTCTTTTCCACCAGAAAAACTTGAGATAATTAAAAATAGTGGAGCAGAGGAAAGGGGATAATTGGTATACAGTGGATACCAAAAGCTCTGGCCTTAAAAATATTAAAACAACTCCACAAAGGGAGTCACCTAGTGGGGGTATTGTAAATTAAAGGCAACTCCGATGTTGGTGAGGGGGAGAGAATGATGCATCTGACTCCATGGATATCAGAAGGCTAATTAATTACTTTATTATACTATACTATATACATTACATCTAAACTGAATCTGCCAAGCACTCACTCTGCACACAACTGCACTCATCTCGTGACTCTCTTGTGACTGTCAGCAGACAGTCCCGACACACACTCTCTTGGCCCTGATAGGCCAAGGAAAAAAACCATCCTCACTTTGGATAAACAATCTCCATATTGCATTCTACTTTGGCACAACACAGGCACACCAAATGAGATAAGCATTATGTTTTCTTTCTCTGTTGTTCAGAGAATGTGAATCTCAGAAATCCTTGGGAGGAATTGTGCATTGCTTTGCTCTGTGAAGTGAAATGTGGCAACAGTGGGGGGGTAAAAACAAGTGATGTGTATTTAAAACAATATGTTGCCAGGATACTGTCTCTTGTGAAATCTCTTCAACAGGAAGCTCAGCTGGCACAGACCCTGTCTTTGGACTTTGCTGTTCATAACAACCAACCAGGAGATTGGGTCCTAGTTGAGGAGTGGAAAGAAACACCACTAGTGGCGAAGTGGTGTGGACCACTGACTACAGAAACAGCCATCAAGACAGCTGAACACAGATGGACCCATCACACTCGGGTCAAGGTCTCTGAAGCCCCAGAGATTTGGACATTTCAGCTGGAGGAGAAGGATGGGAGGCCACAACTGACCTTCTGCAGGAGTTGACCAGAGCAGTAGCTAGTTCATCGACATTGGTGGAGGTTCTGTGTGCCTACCCACAGATAGTCTGCTGAAATAGTCTGTATGGGCATCTCTCCTTTAGAATCTCCAGTCTTTGGGAGACTAATACTTGCTGTTATTGTTTTCTTTATGTTATTTCTGTGCCTTCATACCCCACAGGTGTTGGGGAATACAATGTGAGAATTAGATTAGGAGATCAGATTACACCATTAGAATGTTTTTCTTAATAATCTTATGCAATAAATCCGTGGTTCTCTGGGCTAATATAAATCCAGATCCAGCTTGCTCAGGACTAAAGCCCACACGGAATTGCATAGACGGAAGATAAAAGACGAGAAGTGCTCTTTGCCACGTGGAGACGAGTATCCAGTTTATTAGCTTGAGAAAGGACACTTCTGGTGACAGCGACCACCCAGGTAGCAAAGAGGCAGAACCGCACCTGCCGTAGGGTTTTATGCCCCAGGTGATGGGGGCGGGGAAAGAGGACCGCGGCCAATGGGATAACATTGGGGGGGGCGAGGGGAGGGACGACCCGTGGGACAGACCACTAAGGGAGGAGGGGTATGGGGGACAAACCATGTGATGAGAAAGGGGGAATAAACGGTCCACATGACCTGACATACCCATTAAAATTTTCCCATCACCAGGGTAAAAGCACCAACTAAATAAACTATTTAGTGCACCACAACAATCTTATCTTTATATTGTCAGTTGAATTTGAGACAGAAGTGGGAAAGGGTTTTTTAGTCCTAGGAGAAGAAGTAGCAAAAACCTTTAACCTTGGCAATTGTTGGGTCTGCGGAGGAGCAGGAGGATCTGACAACTGGCCATGGGTAGCCAGCCCAGTTGAACCTAAATGGTGGGTCAGCACCCTGAGTGAAGTCCATAATGGAATGGGATTTTGGGATGAGGAAAGAAGTCCATGGCAACTTCATTCTTCTGAAAAAGGTCTTTATTGCCTAAATAGAACAGGGGGCATATTTGTGGGAAAAAGTGTTTGTGAGTGGGCTTTAAGTTTAGATTGTTGGACCCTCAACTGCCCTCTATTAGTATTAATCCCAGTATTACCGGGTGGGATGTGCCTGGCCTCGTCTGACCCTTGCTGCTGGACCAAAGGCGGCAGCTGTGGTGTTTCACCTCAGAGATACCTTTGGCCGGCTGGATGCTGCAGCTAGGCACTCGGAACAAATCCAGGCATAGTAGGAACTCAGTTTACCTCTGGTGGAAAAGGTTCAGGCAACGGTGAAGAGAAAGGAGAGGATTCTATCGTAGAGTTTTAATCCAGAGTTTTATTTCAGGATGGTAGACCTCTGAATCTTGTAACAGCTCCCAATAGAATGGCAACCGCATGGTCTCGTCTCCTTTTAAGCCCCGGGGACAGGGGGAGGGGAAGGGACAGGTGAGGGCCAACCAGGTGGGAGGAGGGGAAGGCTCAAGGGATATAGACTCTTGGACAGGCCAATGAGCCCAGACCTGAGGGGCATCTTTTGAACTTCTGCCAACCACACGACACCCTTGCTGGAATGTTAAGATTGATGGACAGCTCTTAGCAGGAGGGCAAAAGGGGAAAGGTTGGCACACCTGAGGGGTTGGGATAGGTGAAACAGGAAATGGCATCACACTGCAACAGCCCTCCTTGCGATTGTTCCAAATATGGAGGCAGATAGAATCAAACACATGTTAAGCTCACTAATAGTAGCTGAATAAAGTGTTCCTACCATAATTACTGAAAGGAATTTTGAAGGCTTTAAAGCAGTGAGGAGGGACAGGGTTTTTTGACCACTTATTTTTAAGCTGCCCCTGAGATAATTCCACAAGTAGGACACGTGTTGTCTGTGACTATCAGTGGAAGTGGCAACACTGGAACAGAACTCGAACCCTTTTTAATAAGTTCTGGTCCAGATCTAACAAAACAGATCTGGGATGTAACTGCAGGTGGAAACCTTATGTGGGAGCTTGGAAATGCAAATATTGTGATTCTTATGGCAGGGCAACTATTCTTGGAGGACCGTTAGGCCCAGGAAGCAAGCTTTATTTTGACCCACCAATTGATGATGAAAATTGGGAAGGCCCCTTTCCTAACAGGACCTGGGCTTTGAAAGGACATTATTGGATTTGTGGCCAACATGCTTATCGCAGGTTACCTCTAAACTGGTCAGAGATATGTTTTGTATGGTATACGAGACCATTGTTCTTTTTGCTAACAGAAGTTCAAGGAAATCAAATCATGGTATATAATGATCTAATTAGAGAAAAGCAGTCAATTGATACATCCCTGGCTGGAGGGAGCACCCAAAAATGGGAAAAAGATGAATGGCCACCTGAGCAAATCATACAACACTAAGGGCCAGCCACTGGGAATACAAATGAATTAATAACAGGTGCCAGAGAACCCATTCATAATTTGAATCAAATAATTAGGTTACAAGCTGTCTTTGAAATAATAACCAACCAGACAGCTACAGCCCCTGACCTTTTTGCTGACCAATCCACTCAAATGAGGAACACAACATTTCACCATGGGATGGTATCAGATTCTCTATTAGCAGAAGAAGGGGAAATGTGTGGAATATTAAATGATGCAAACTGCTTTTTGCCAATAGATGACAATGGAAAAGTGGTGAAACAAATAACAAAGAGAATAGGAACATTAGCGCATGTACCGGTGCAAAAGTGGAAAGGATGGGAATGGTGGATGTTTTTGTAGTTACCTGGTAGACTATGGGTTAAACAAATGCTATTTCTCCTCTTATGTGCTATAGCAACTCTCATCTTTTTACCATGCATGACACCTTGCTGAGCGCAGCTCATTCAGCAGGTGATCGAGGAAATGCAGGTAGTAGCCACGCCTACTGATCCAGAAATTACTACAAAAGGACAGAAAATTATGTCACTGCAAATAATCTCACAACTAAACAAGACCCAGGAACAGAAAATTAAGTCAATGGTAGCTAAGATTTGTAAAGACAATTACTGAGAAAATGTAGGAAAGACATTTTTGTGCTGTTCTTGTGAGCCAGCAAAGGCTTCCTGAAGATAAGGAAAACCTCGTATCTTTCTCAAGGAAGGTACCAAGGCTATCACCATGAAAACATGAAGAAAGAAAGTTAAAAGATGTGGACTTTAGTTGGCTCACAGAGTGACGTGCCTCCTTGTTCACCTATTGAGAACTTTGTTTCTTTTTCATGACCAATGGGCAGTATATGTGTTTGTTAAGTAAATGTAAATATCTTGTAAAACTATAAAGGCAACGTGTTGCTTTAATAAACCTCTCTTATACAGCCTTCTGATCTGAGTCTTGGTGCTTGTGCCGTGTCACGCTCTATAACGACATCTGGTGGCCGCCTGCCGTGATTGCAAATGGACTGTAAAAAAGGAAAGAACAAAAAAAGAGAGGAAAAAATTGAAGGGTACCCTAAAAATGAGTGAAGGCAGAAAGGACATGGCACAGGTCCGGACCTAATTCAGATGTCTGATTCGAGGTGAGCAATTGGGAAAGAGAATGGGAAATAATTTATCAAATGTGGAAAAGACTGTTTTGTCCACGTGGAAAGTTTTATTGAAAAGGAAAACTGTTCAGGCTTCTGATTATGTTCTTCATAGTTTACTGATATGGTGTAAATCACAGGACTTGGAAGCTGATACCTGTTATAAAATTGACTCAAAACGAGCAATTTCCAATCAAAGAATTTATTAATTATTGAAGCAGTTATACTACGTAAGCAAAGGCTCAGCGCTGGGCGACAGGGGAGTCTCAGCTCCACCTACTGCCGCACCAACTAGTTTCTGATTCAGTCCTTTTATCCTCTCCATCCTTCAGGAGTCCATGTTATCTCGGAGTTCTCTGCGCCTGTGCTGGTTGTTGCTAGGGGTTCATCCTTCTGTCTCCTGGTGGTCGGTGATAAAAGGCTGCGGAGTCTTCCTCAGCCGCGTCTTCTTCACCCTATGTCTTTATTTGGTGACTTCTCCGTGGAAAATTACCAAAATCTTATGATTAACGCAATATGTGTCCTATCAAGTTTCAGCAAGCAAATATCCTGCCTTGCAGACTGTTTATCTGCCCCTGCCCCTTCCCCAGCTTTTCCCTGGTCGTTATCTCTGTGAGTTATCTGCTTGTACCATTTGTCAGCGGGAAAGGTTTCCCTGCTGGGTGTTAATCTGCCCCTGCCCTTTCCCCAGCCTTTCCCTGGTCGTTATTTCTGTTAGTTATCTGTTTGTACCATTTTCTGGGTGGGACTATGTGTGGGCTCCTGCAACCCCTTCCCTGGTATCCTTGTAGCTCATATCTCATGAAGTAGTACAGAAATAGTCAGCAGAGAACTCTTGTAACACACTGGTCTCTTTTTCGTGATGAACAAAATGTAGTCCTTCATCTCAATCCCCCCTTTGTTTTGATACTCAATTTTGTTCATCAAAACGCTCTAATTCCCTTTTGCTAAGCTCCAGAGATTCTTCTGGATCATCCATCTTCAAGGTTTCGTATTTTGCTCGTATGAGCATAAGGTGAGCAGCTTCTAATCTGCCTTTTACAATGCTAATCAATTTATTAAAAATACAAGGGCCAAACGTGAGTCCCAATAGTAAGAGAAGTAGTGGACCCGCTATCGTTGATAATAAAGTTGTAAGCCAAGGAGAATAGTTAAACCAAGATTCATACCAGCTTTGGTGTTCTTCCCTTTCTCTTTGTCTTCTTTCTAGCCCCTCCCGTAGTTTTGCCATTGAGTCCCGTATAATTCCGCTCTTGTTTACATATGTGCAGCATTCTTCTCTTAAAGCAGCACATAGTCCTCCTTGTTGCAGGAATAATAGATTTAACCCCCTTCGATTTTGTAAGGCTACCTCTGCTAGGGAATCTAATGATTCTGTGAGGTCTTTGATGGAGGTTTCGATCCTCCTGAGGTCTTCATCTACAGAGGCTCTTAGTTCTTGGAATCCTCGGTGTTGCTGTATGAGTGAGGCTATTCCTGTTCCTGTCCCGGCTGCACCTATTCCTAGTAACATTGCTACAGTGAAGGTTGTGAATATTTCCCGTTTCACTATGTGGGGTCCTATATTTTGATATTGTTCATAAACGTACTCTACGGGGTGGTAAAGGACTCTGGGTACTATCAATACTTGAATACAAAAGTCACTGGATTCATTAAATCGGTCTATATTTATACATGGGGTGACTCCGAGAGTGTTACAGACCCATTTAGTATTTGCTGCTGGCAGTATCCAGCTGGCAGGTTTCTTAGGGTCACTCAAATTCCCCATAACCTGACATAGATGTCGTTTTTCCACTGGTACTCGTCCTATACATCTTCCTCTCCCCGTTACCCTTGCCAAGGTTATCCCTCTTGATTCTTCTCCTCCTTTTTCCATAGGCACCTAGCTGGGTTGGTCCCATTTACTCGTCTGCTTTTTGCTGTTACCCCTATGGCTTCATAGAACGGGGGGTTTACGGTGTAACACAGCCAACATTCCTTAGTTAGATTTGGATGGGTCTCATTCAGGACTAGGAAAGTGGCCTGTAATATTTTCCACAAGTCCCCTTCTCCCGGGTTTTCAGGTCCTCAGGTCAAATTAGTAAAGTTTTGCTTATACATTTCTGGAAGACTAGTGGTTGGGGCTGTTTCTGATTAATTTCCATTATTTTCTCCTAGCGTTTGTTCTCCAGCTATCGCCTGGTTTGGTCCAATTGGTTCAGGGTCGTGTGGCACGGTTGTCTTTTGGATTATAAAGTGCCCCCCTCTGTCTGTCCCTGGTTCCCATAATCGGGCTCCCCACATTTTCCCTAATAACCAGACTTGGTCATGTGGTTTTGTCACATTAATGTAAATCATATTGCATGTTCCATCTAACCCTCCTTCTTTCTGGGTATATGTGGAAGTGGGCTGTGTACACCCGTATGGACCCCATCCAGTTCTGATAAACCCGTCCTCGTTCCCCCCCAAAGGAGCTTACTGATACACAGTCCCAATAAGCACAGTAAAAGTGTCCTGGATAGTTACAATACCCTTTTCCTGGGTTTGAGCTTGGACAAAAATAATATCCAAACTGATTTAAACATGGATTTACAGGTATTAAATCACACAAAGTACATAAAAAGCTGGGTGCGCCAGATGTGATTTTGGTCTGGATAACATACTGGTCTTCCCATCTAATCAGTGACCATTTGAAGGGTTGATGTGAATACCCTTCTGCCCCTGAACTTGTTACAATGCACCAGAAAAGAATTAAGGCTTGTAATTTGGGGCTGTCATTGTCGGAGCTCAGGTTAAATTTTACCTTTGGTTTCCCCAGTGGTGGGTTACCAATCCTGGGGCAGGACAGCCAACATTTCCTGGACATCCCATATGGGGGTCGAGGCTTCCGACGGACTCCACTGGTTATTACCTCTCTGCCTCGCCCGACGACTCGGTTGCTGCGAGCCTCGGGGTTTACCATCTTCTCGGCAGCAGAGGTATTCTTCAGGAGCCGGATAAACCTCCCGTTTCCACTTTTTAGCACTGGCGGCCCAGTTATCAGCTTTTATTAATGAGAGGTCACGCCGCAAATTGGGGGCTTTCTTCCGACACACCACTTCCAGGATGTCCAGGAGAAAGGGGATCGGTTCGTTAGGGTGGTAGCAGAACCGATCAGGATTTACCCCTTTGGAAAAGGTTTCCCACCACTCGTCAGATCCAAGCTTTACCTCCTCCCGTAGCAACTCTGCTACTAAGAATGATAGAAGTTAGTCTCCTCTCTTTCTCATAGCACGGCATGCAAATTCCCCTAGGTGTTCTACCACTCCGACAATGAGACCACCAAGGTTCGTGACACAATTTATAGGAAAAGCATACAAGGGGGTGACAGTCACAATCTAACCAGTTACACTTTAACCTTATATCTTTGTTTTGTGCTTTTTCCCCCTTCCATGGGTGCCCTTTATGTTCTAATCTCGGGGACTTAAAGTAGGGCTTTCTTAACTCGTCCTCTAAGAGTTTGCAATATCCAAGAGCCTCCTGATTCCCTATTAGCTGGGTTTGGAGATAATGGTTATCTCCAACCCAGATTACTATCCAAATCATTTATCAGTTCGTTTCAGCTTTAATTTGGTTTCTCCCGGGAGACTGCAAACCTCCCAGCTGTGAGGGGGTTTTACCGGTCCTTTTATGCGACTAGCATGAGTCCATCCTTTTTCAGCGGTTCGTATGGCTGCTTCTGTGCTGAGGAGTACTTGGAACGGTCCTTCCCACCTTGGAGTCAAGGGGTTTTCTTTACAGTTTTGTTTTTTGGTTTTTTTTTTTTTTTTTGTTTGTTTTTGTTTTTGTTTTTTTTTTTTTTTTTTTCACAAGCACCCAATCTCCTGGCTGTACCTGGTGTAAGATAAAATCTAAAGGAGGCCGTTGTGCTAACATACCTTTTTCCCATAATGCCTTTCTGTACTTTGTCAATTCCACCAAATATTTTTGTGTACATGTGTCATTAATGACAGGATGTTCGTTAGGATTTTCTAGGTTATACGGCATCCCATACATCATTTCAAAGGGTGATACCCCTAAATCAGCTCTAGGTCTTGTTCTTATATTTAGCAACGCTAGAGGAATACATTTAACCCAGGTCAAATTGATTTCTGCTACCAGTTTGGTCAATTGCTTTTTTATTTCTCCATTCATTCGTTCAACTCGTCCAGAGCTCTGGGGATGCCAGGGGGCATGTTGTTCCCACCGTATGCCCAGAGCTGTTGCTAAGTTTTGGGTAATTTGGGAAATAAAATGCGGCCCTCTATCTGAGTCAATGACTTCTGGGACCCCATATCTCGGGATTATCTCTTCCATCAATATTTTCGTAACTACTTTGGCTGTTTCTCTTACGGTTGGGAAGGCTTCCACAAAATGTGTTAGGTGGTCCACCAAGACCAATAAATATTTGGTTCTCCCTACTTTGGGGAGCTCGGTGAAATCTATCTGAATGTGGGAGAAAGGCCTTTTTGCTAGTGGTCAGCCTCCCTCCGGTAATTTTCTCAAAATTTTTTTTTTTTTTTTTTTTTTTTTTTTCCTATTTACTTGTAAGCAAATTAGGCATCCTCTGGTTACTTGTTTGGCAATGTCCCAGATTCCCACACTCACATACTTTGCAGCAAAATAATCTACCAGTCCCTGTGATCCCCAATGTGTTTTTTTTTGTTGTTGTTTTTTTTTTTGTTTGTTTGTTTGTTTTTTTTTTTTTGTTATATCTTAGTCAGTAATCTATGTGCCGCATTTTGGTGGTCCCAATGGGGGTTCTGTAGGGGCCATTTAGTGTCCGCAGCCGGGCCTTGGACATGCTGCGTGTCCCAAATACGCATTCCTTCCCTTCTTATCATATTCCGTTCTTCAGTAGAGAACAGAATGCCCAAAATGGACTGCATTTCTTCCCAGGTATAGATGTTTGGTCCTAAGAACTGGTCGACCCTCTCGGCTACCCCAAAAGGGTCCTCTAATAAATGTCCCATGTCCTTCTTAAAGTCTCGTACATCTGCCGAACTCAAGGGGACAGTAATAAATCCTATACCCGCCTGTGGTCCACCCATAGGCATCTCCCGTAGAGGGAATAGCCCCGTCTCAACCCTACTGCGGCTCCTTATAATCGGGCCTTGGTAACCGGTTTGGTTAACCTCCCCTTGGTTACCCTCTTCATCATTGTTTGGTGCAGGTGGTTGTGGAGGTGGTGGGGCATTGGGTGCTAGCGGTGGGACATATGGGGGCGGTGCTATAATTAAGTCGCCCAAATGATTGTCCCTCTTCCCCTTTTTGTCCGGATCCCCTTTCCCTTCTCTTAATTGGAAAACATACACTTCGGGTCTTGCTACCCATATTTTGGCATAATCACTCTCCTCTTGCGAGAAGGGCTCTTTAGAATTTACCCATAGGTTCAAGTCCTGTCGAACCCAGTCTTCAGATGATCCAAACATGGGCCAAAAAACTTTTTTTTTTTTTTTTTTTTTTTTTTTTTTTTTTTGGAAATCTCTTTCCCACCCCATACTTCCATACAATGATGTATCATTCTGGCCCTATCCTTAGTCTCGGTCCCTGGGTAATGCTTCCAATTACTAAGCATAAATCCTAGGGGATTGTCCCTTGGAATGGGGGGGAGTTTCCCTTGGGTTGGGGTCTTGCTTTTCCCCTGCCCCATTCATCCGGAGTGCCTTCTTTCACTCTCAAATTCCTTTCACTTCCCCTTTTTCATGGCCCGAGCCCTCGCGGGTCTGCAGGAACCGCACTACTCAAGGGTCCACACTCACTTGGAGAGTCCGGCTGCCGGCCCTCCTCTCATTCACACTTGTCCACCGCCACACTCCGGGATCCCAACCCCGCCCGAACGGATTCCCTTTTATACTTACGCGTCCTGCGTCTTCGTCCGGACTCCGTGCACAGATAATTAAGGGGTTCACCGGTATAATTTGTCCCGTTTGCTTACTAGTATATATTTTAGGGTCGTCGGTGAGAGTGGCGGAGGTTCTCCCAGAGGGGCCACCCAGAAAGCACTGGATGAGGCGCCCCCCACTCTGGGTAGATCCTACCCGATCCAAACTCTCATCCGAGTCACGGCACCAAATTGTTATAAAATTGACTCAAAACGAGCAATTTCCAATCAAAGAATTTATTAATTATTGAAGCAGTTATACTACGTAAGCAAAGGCTCAGCGCTGGGCGACAGGGGAGTCTCAGCTCCACCTACTGCCGCACCAACTAGTTTCTGATTCAGTCCTTTTATCCTCTCCATCCTTCAGGAGTCCATGTTATCTCGGAGTTCTCTGCGCCTGTGCTGGTTGTTGCTAGGGGTTCATCCTTCTGTCTCCTGGTGGTCGGTGATAAAAGGCTGCGGAGTCTTCCTCAGCCGCGTCTTCTTCACCCTATGTCTTTATTTGGTGACTTCTCCGTGGAAAATTACCAAAATCTTATGATTAACGCAATATGTGTCCTATCAAGTTTCAGCAAGCAAATATCCTGCCTTGCAGACTGTTTATCTGCCCCTGCCCCTTCCCCAGCTTTTCCCTGGTCGTTATCTCTGTGAGTTATCTGCTTGTACCATTTGTCAGCGGGAAAGGTTTCCCTGCTGGGTGTTAATCTGCCCCTGCCCTTTCCCCAGCCTTTCCCTGGTCGTTATTTCTGTTAGTTATCTGTTTGTACCATTTTCTGGGTGGGACTATGTGTGGGCTCCTGCAACCCCTTCCCTGGTATCCTTGTAGCTCATATCTCATGAAGTAGTACAGAAATAGTCAGCAGAGAACTCTTGTAACACACTGGTCTCTTTTTCGTGATGAACAAAATGTAGTCCTTCATCTCAATACCCACACTGCCTTCAGTGTCCGGGCATGGAAAAATGTTGGGAAGTGATATCTAAGGGGGATAACACTGTTATCGATTTGGCTACTACCTGGAGATTGTTGTATGAGGCTTTGAAGGAATGGAAAGCAGAACAAGATAGAGGGGAGGAATTGGAGGAGCAGGAATTAGAGCAAGAAACTGAAGTAGAGGAACAGGAGGAAATTGAGCCTGAGCTTGTCAATGTATCTCCCCCTGAGGAGTCTGCTGCAGTTGTTGTGGAGGTTCCCCCAGTATTTGCTATTGTGAGAATCAAACAGCAGGCTAAGACTGTTCCTCGGTATTTATCTCCAAAAGACTATATTAAACCTGTGTATTCTTCGCCTGCTCAGCAGTTAGTTGAACTGAGTACTAAAACAAAGTATCTTACGCCTGCACAGCAATTAGCAAAAATGAGGTTACAGAAGAAGTGAAGTAAAAAATAGGCTGGGTCATCGGCTCTTCTGTGTCTCCCTGGGCCGTTTGCTCCTCCCTCACCCTCCCCTGGATCGGCTGCTCCTCCCCCACCCTCCCGTGGTTTGGCTACTCCCCCCCCTCTTTCCCTTGAGCCGTCTGCCCCTCCTCTGCCCTCCTTCGAGTTGTCTGCCTCCTCTCCATGTTCCCTTGAGCCATCCACCCCTTCTCTGCCCCCCTTCGAGTCGTTTGCCTCTGCTCCACCTCCAGTTGAGCCGTCTGCCCCCTCCCCCACCCCGAACTGGTTGAACAAATGCAATCTTTAACATTGTGTCCTTCCTTGTCTAGAGATAGTTCTGACAATGAACTGCCAGTTATGAGTACATCTAAAAAGACTCAGGAATCTGTTTCTGTTAGACCTTGTTGCAGATCCAGGCCTGCTGTTTCTTGGACTCTGCCTCCCTGCCAGGTGGCTGTGACTCCTTGACACCCTTTGCAATTTTGGGAGCATGTGAGAATGAAAGCAGCTGAAGTGAGAGATTGGAATTTGTTAGAGAAAATAGGTCCACCTAAAAGGATGGAGATGGCTGCTGCTGCTGCTGCTTCTGGTGGGCCTGTGGCTTTTCCTGTTTTCAAAGCTGCTCCTAATTCAGGGCAACAAGATAGCCATCAGGTTTTTGCATGGAAGGTTGTACAGGATCTTCAGTCAAAAGTAGATCAGTATGGTGTTAACTCTTCACAGGTGATGCAAGTGATTCGTGTTCTAAATGCTGATGTACTTGCACCTTATGATATTGTTCACCTTGCTATGATTCTGTTTCAGCCAGTGCAGTATGGTGTGTTTCAAGCTACCTGGAAACAAATGGTTGAAAGAGTAGCATTGGACAATATGCAGTTACCTCAGAACGATCCACGTCATGCTGTGGGAGTTGATGCCTTGCTGGGCAATGGACCATTCTCTAACCCGGATTTGCAGGCAAGATGGGACCCCCTGGTTCTGGCACAGGCCCAGCAGCTGGGTATGAGTGCCTTACTTAAAACAATGGAGATGGCAGCTCCTAAACTGAGGTATATTACCATCCAGCAAGGGGTGAAGGAACCATTTCTGCAGTTTGTGGAGAGGGTTGCTGCAGCCCTTGAAAAGCAAGTATAAGATGATAAGTTGAAGCAAATTTTATGCAGGCAATTAGCACGGGACAACACGAATTATGATTGCAGGGGAATTATTGATTCTTTACCGGGAGATCCCTTGCTGTCTGATCTTGTAGTTGCTTGCTCAAAGGTTGGTTTGGTTGAGCATAAAATGGCTGCTTTGGCAAAAGTCATGAAGTCTTCACCCAGATGTTGATGTTCTGCTTGTGAAGAATCAGGGCATGTGAAGACACAATGCCCTCAAACTGCTGGACGACGTGTACACTCTAGGGTAATTTGGACCAGTAAAGTGCCTTGTTATCGCTGTGGTAACTTTGGCCATATTGCTAAATTTTGTAAGTTAATATCTTTTTCAAGTGGTCTACAAGTGCAGGGAAACTGGAGGAGGAACACGAAGGGGCGCGTGGAGACACAAATACCCTGACGACAATCACGAGCCCTGCCAGCACTGCAAAGCTCTCCATTTGTGAATGATACACAGGGGCCACAAGAGGCTCGGCAGGGATTGATATACCGGTAGCTGAAACAGTAACTATTTTGACAAGAGATATATGTAAAGTGCCTCTTGATTCCTATGGTCCTGTAGGCCAAGGTTTGAGTGCTTTTCTGATAGGAAGATCTAGTAGCACTATTCAAGGTATTAATGTCCATTTAGGTTTTATTGATTCTGATTTTGTGGGAAAAATTCAGGCTATGGTGTCTGTTAGTGAACCTCCTGTTGTTATTCAAAAAGGTAATTGTATTGCTCAAGTTGTTGCTTTTATGAGTTCTGTTCCAACTGTAGTGGACTGGTGTCGCAGACATCTTTTGTGAAAATCCTTTTCTTAGGATTTTTGCCTGCTGAGAAGCTGAGAGGTTTCAGCAACAAAATGTAAACAATGGTTATCTGCTGCTCTGGAATGCATCAGGTGGATTGTTGATTGGCCCATCTTGGATGTTTATAATTAATGGCCAATCAAGGCTGAGCTATCTCAGACAGAGTCCAAGAGAGCTGCCTTTTGTTATCATTCTTTTCTATTCTATTCTTAGCTAGCCTTCTGAGATGAACCTTTTCCTACTATTTCTTTTTAGTATAGTTATAATGTAATATATATATATATATATCATAAAATAATAAATCAAGCCTTCTGAACATGGAGTCAACATTTTCATCTCTTCCCTCATCCAAGAACCCCTGTGAACACTGTCACAGATGGTGACCCTCGAGTGAATGAGGAAGAAAATCATCACTTGGTGAGACCCCCCAGAGGAGCACTGCTACACTGGGTCCATCCCGAGTATGTGGCATTGATGGTCACCTCACAAGTGACCACAGAAGTGTATTATAGCTAGGAGCTGAAGAACTGAAGATCCTGATTTGGACAGAGTTCACAGCAAGGCTGACCACAGAGAGAACCTTTTGAAAAGCCTCCAGGAAGATGTTTGGAAAGCCTAGCAGCACCAAGCAGCTGGCCAGAGAGTGCTGTACACTGTCACAAGGTACTGTTAGCTTTTCCCTTCCTGACGATACTGCCCTTCGCAGATTGTGGCTGCAAATGTGGTGGGGGCTCCCCACCGAGGTGGAGGTTCCTTTCTCCCCCTCAGAGGAGAAACTTATTGCCCTCTGGCAAAAAATGGGGTGAAGAGGACAGAATTCCTATGGTGGAGAGACATTTCTATGAGTTTTTTCGATGTGCAAAGTTATATGGGTTTTTTACGAATGTGCTCTATGCCCTTGATATGTTCATATGGGAATGCATGGAATCCATTTTCCAAGCCGTCTTGGACCGTGGACTGAAGTACCCCCAGATTTATTCCGCGTTCCAGACGCTCTTCCCGGTTTTGAAAGGGAGAGCAGCTGTTTTTCCCTGAATTGCTGCTTGCAGGAGGCAGGCGCCATTCCCGCCAGTTCCCACCGGAGAAGATCCCTTGGGGGTAGACAATCTGCTGCTTCCCAGCCCTCCCTAATCGCAGCGGGGGAGCGAGATTTTGCCCGCTGCTGAAGAAGTTTTTTTCCCTGTGTTTTCAGAGCATGCTCAGATGGAACTGCTTTCCCCCCCCTCGTTGCTCTCAGAGGGGGTTTGAGTGGGCTGCGCCACCCCTGGCAGCCCTGCGGCTGCCTCCCCAGGCAGCCCCGCCCGTGGGTCCGCCGGCTTCTGCGCCTGCACGGCTGACTTCCGAAACACCGCTTCCCACGGCTGCGCCGGCGTTGCTAGGCAACGCGCTCGGCGACAACAGCAACCCAGCGCCACTCCCGCCGCTTCCCGCGGCTGCACCTGTGTTGCTAGGCAACGCACTCAGCGACAATGGCGGTCGCCGCCAGCGTGTCCGAGGCTGCACCGCCTGCGGATGCGCCAAGGGCCGACCCCGTGCAGGTACCCGCAGCCCCGCCCGCGGTTGCCGCTCCAGCAGAGCCTGTGGGGGCTCTGGCCGTGGTGGCCCTGCCTTCGCCCGCAGCGCCGATGCCAGAGGTTGCAGCTGAGAACAGCCACCCGGCGCCACCCCTGCCGCCCCCCCCCCGCCACCTTCCGTGCGGACTCCGCCGCCTTCTGCGACTGCACTCCCTCCGGCCTCGCCGCCCCCACCAGCCGCCCCTGCAGTTCTGCTGCCTTCGGGGACTCCATCCTCCGTGTCTGCATCATAGGCTGCCCTGGAACCGGCGGCATGTTCGAGCTCGGACTGTCCCGGGCCGTTTGCCCTTGCAGCAGCAGCTCCAGCGGCCGGCCTCTCCTTCCGTGGAGGAGGCATGGTTTGGCAGCTGAGTGCGGGTACAGCCCGGCTGCCTGCTTTCAAACTCAGAATTCTTGGTGGGGTGGAGGGTGTTTGGTCGGTTGTTTCCCCTTGGGGGTTGGAAATCTCTCTGCCGCCCCTCGCACGCACCAGCGGCAAGGGGGAGGTGGCTCCCGGGGGTTCTGCCTTTGGTCCCCAGCCCAGAGGGGGTGGGGGTGGTACCGGGAGGCAGATGGGAGGAACACCTTTTGCATTTGCATTGCAGAGGCAGAGGGAACGGCAGAAAGCCATCATCGCTTCCTTGCTGTGGGGATAAAACATTCCCAGACCCAAGATGAAGATTCTCGCGGCAACTTCAATTCCCCCACTGCTGGCATGCCTCGGTGGTTTTGGGGGGAGGAAGCGTTTGGTCACTCGTGCTGCCATTGTACTGGTGGCAGGGTGCTGGTCTGTGACAACACAGAGCCCGCCTGGTGGGCTGGGCCTGGGCTGTTTGGCTCGGGTCCCTGGGCCAGGGCCACCGCCTGGCCTCCTGTTGGGTTTGGGGGCTTCGCTTCCCCCTTCAGGTCCTGGGCCACCATTTTGTGGGCCAGGTCTGGGGTTCCTGATCCTTCCAAGAGGGCCAGGGCCCCCAGGGCCTCTAAGGCTATCTGCTGCTGCTGCTGCTCTTTCTGGGAAAAAAAAAAATTAAATTAAATAAAAA